CGTTATCTGCGCGCGGCAGCGACAGCGCATGCGTGGCGGCCATCTTGTGTTAATGCAGTCGTCCGCTTGTCTCGGTTCTGCGCGGTCAGTGTAGGTTTTTGTGAGTCAAATTGCGTGACTTTTTTTGTTGTTGCTGTTTTATTTTATTTTTCTTCCTTCCACGATGAATACTTTTAGACTGGGCTGTAGCCATGTCATGTAAAGCAGGGAAGACTGTCAGATGTCACTCGGAGGAAAACAAAAAAAAAACCATCACCACCAACAAAAAAAGGTCTTTCTTCAAAGAATTCCTTTAGGTAAATACGTGTGTAGACGTAATTCTAAGATGCCCCCCAAATATTCCAGCATTGGTCTTTAAACGTGATGTAATATAGCTCTTTCTTGTTTCAGGGCATTGCTGCTAATTAAACTTAAAAGATAAAATTCCACTCTGATTTTAATAAATTTACATTTTAATTTTAATAACTTACACTGTAATTTTAATAATTTTGCATTATTTTAACTTATGTAATCAGCCTTTCCAAATGCCCATGAAGAAAGGAGGCCCTTTGATAGCGATACATATCAAAGGACAATGGATTTTAACACAGAATTACAATGTGGCATTATTGGCATTAAATGAATATTCCTGTCTTGCAAATGATCCTGATGATTCAGTTAAGTAACACCCCAGCACAGAGTAACTCTTGGATTAAACTCGATAAAGCCTGAGGAAATCCTAGGGCATTAGGACAGGAAGTGAATTCTAGAAAAAGGAAATACATGTAACAACATAGTCTTGCTAATGTACTGCTCATAGTCCAGGCTTAAAAGAAAAGGAAACTGTATCAAGTTCTTATTTTGCAAGTATCTGAAAAGGAGAGGGCCTAAAAGCTCTATTTCAGTTATGTTTTTACCTGTTTCAGGTTTCATTGTGTCATGGACATAATACACATGGGTATAAATATTTGTATTTTAAAGCTATATGGCTAGTTTGTTTTTCTAAAAAGAGTTTTGCTGACATAATAATGTCTTGAGAGTTTCAAGTGTTAGGGGAGGTGATGGGCTTGTGGAGAATATTAGGTAGTCATATAAAAAAATAAGTACTGCAGCTTGTGATACCAGTGTAGGATATATGAAAAGACAGCAACATCAAAAAGTCAAGATTAGGCCACATAAATGCATTTTTTTTCCATAGCTTTCACTGGTGCTAACTATTACCAGTTGGGCTACTGCTAACTGACGGAGCCCATTGACTGAGGTGTCAAATCAACTGTGGTGACCTTGGGGCAGCAGTACTTACAGGTGAGAGAGTTGAATGCCGCTGGCGAGACTGATGTGTAAGGGCTGGAATTTACTGTAAAGTTCCATGTGGTCAAGCCTTGGCCAAAACACTGCAGACTCTTCCTTGAGCCTTACACCCTGTTGCTACCATGGGCTTATAGGCCTCACCTGCTAGAGAAAGGTGCTGCTTTCTATGGTGTATCCATAACCTTGACACTCAACTCCTTCCTAATTGGGTAGAATGGCCCAGATGAAAGAAGAGTCCCTTCTTTTTAGCCCGTTTCAGTCAGAGTAGTCACACAGGATTTGGAAGACCTACTTCTCATTGTTTCCTTCCTTAGAAGGCCTAATCATGGCATTCCCACCTCTTAGAAGATGCCTTAACTAGGCAGCATTTCCAGCTTTACCAAGTTGGCTACTTGGCATGTGTGGGGCGGGGAATGCTTTTATTAAAAAAAAAAAAACCCACAAAACTTCTTTTAATGAATATTTGAACAGTCAGTGGGTGAGTGAATGGGAGAAAATAACTCTTCAGGCAAATACATACCACACTTACCTGCAGGAAGGAGATCTATCCTAATGCATCTTTATGTATTTCATATTAAGCCAGAGAGCCAGAGTGGGTAACTCGTGTGATGTTTTTGTGATAACCTTCAGTCCTACAGTTTCATACTTCCTGGAGATACAGTAGGATATTTTGGTACACAAATAGCATATCAGTTTGATCCTGTCCTATCTCTCTGTCTTTTTTTTTTTTTTTTTTTTTTAAGACATACTCAGAGGAAAATCATATGGAGAATTCTGCAGACCAGAACTGGCTCCTATGAAAATGTAAATTAGAAAATGTTCTGTGTTTTTTTTTTTTTTTTTTTTTTTTTTCCCTTTTACTGTGCAATGACCAGAGTTGTATTAGGAGCTCTACCTGTTACCTGCTGATGACTGTGGGGAAAACTGGTTATACCATGGTACCGCGATTTCTCTATCTGTGATACAGGGATATTTAAACTAATCTTTTTTAGAAGAATGTGAGGTCTACTTCTGGAAAAGCTCTGTGAAGGAATCTGCAAGATGTCATTTTGAGAAGAGCGTTGGGAAGACCATACATACAAACAAAATTTGTAGAGTTTTGACTTTAATTGGAACAGCTTTTCTAGCTAGTCTGAAATGACATGGTACAGTTGCATCAATACCCAGGATCCCAGTCCACACAGCATTTAAATGTGCATACAGCTCATGTAAATATAATCAGTGAAATCATTAGAATAGTTTTGCCTGTTCCTGTCAGGAAGCACAATTGAGAAAATTATGTCTGCCTTTTGCATAGATCTTCTGGAGGGAGACAAATCCTGCATCATTTGAACTGAGTTCTTCAGATCTATTATTAAGAATATATACAGTGCTTAGTAAAGACTTCAAATGAATCCTCTAAATGTGCCTATAGCAATAGGAGTCAGCTGTAGATTTATTAAATCTTGGTTTAATCATATTTGATTTTTCCCTTATGCCATTATATTAAGGTCAGAATATCCCCCAAGATTTGATATAAAGTGATTTTTGGAGCAGTTTTTGTGGGCAGCCCACTAGGTGTCAGTGTCAGCCCATTGCAGCACTGCTCACAGGGCAGGTGGGAGCTGGCTGCCCTCTGAGTAATGCATCATTTGCCTTGGGTCACGGACATTGTACAGGTAAGGTCTACCATATTCTTATATAACTCAAGGAAGTAGTTCCGGGAACAGTGCTGTGGTCTACTTATTCTGGTCGAATGATGCAGTTCCTAATACACACTATATATGCAGTAGCAACTGAAAGATAGTCATACAGATCCCCCTCCTTCCTTCCTTCACTCTCTTCTTTAGCAGTTTTTAAGCTCATCCTGGCTTCTCATCCGTAGCTCCACCTTGGAAAATCCCCCATGTGCTCATACGAGTAACTCTCTGCAGATATTAAATCTTATACTGTTCTACACATGTAGCTCCACATGCCTAAGTTTTCTCTTTTTTTCTTTTTTCTTTTTTTTCTTTTCTTTTTTTTGAAAATAAACACATGAAAGATGCATAGAAAATCACATTGCAGTGCTTGAAGATCTCTGTGATTGTTTTTTCCATCTTGTCTTAGCTTGATTGTTATGTGGCGAATAAAAATAAAGACTTTTTCTTTTAGCTTTTGTAAAAAATATATAAACTATATTTTAAAAATCTTGCAAAAGGAGAGTTGAAGTTTTTAGGTTGCGTAGCAATAATAGTACACATTACACTTTCTGAATGCTTGCTTTCATGTTTAACATTTAATCAATGTACCTAAAAGATACACTTTTAAAAATCTTCATCATATCGGTCATCTTCATGCATATCAAAAAACACAAATACAGATCTGTTCAAAATCAGGTCACTTAATCTTCAAACATAGAAACATATTTTTTCCTGTTTTGGAACTTCTAAAAATTACACTAAACCTCAGCTTTTATTTAATACATGAGTTTACATTCTGATCGCAGGATCCTTTCTTCTATTTTTTTTCTGTAAAACACATACAGTTGAACTTACAATAATACAAACAATGATGACACACACAGCTACTATTGCCACTATGGCTGTAATTTTAAAACCACTTTTATTGTCTTCATCATCTGAAGGCACAGATGCTTTTGGAGGAGTGAAGCAGGATTGCTGTTCGAACCTTACTTTTTACACAGTCAAAAGTGTACTGATCCTGCTTGGGAACCCCTCCTCTTCACTAGCCTTAAAAAATGTTGTTTTACAACACTACTAGCCTTCTCTGAGCTGTCAAAATGTAGCTGACTGAGAAATTATGCTGTCCAAGTAGAAATGTAAGATCAAATTAAAATATGCATTTATATAGCTCGTATGGGCCTTGCATCTGATCTGTGTTTTATATCTCAATATGAAGTTCTGAAACTATCAAGTACTAATGTATATACTAAATGATTGTCCCATTTGTCCATAATCAAGAGAACTTCTGGTTACATTGCTCTAAATATGTTTGACTTCCTATTTGTGGGGGGGTACTGCTGCTTCTGTTTCAAGACGGCAGCTTTGCAAAGTTCTTTGCTTGCATCCTACTTGCTTTCATCTTTCCTGTTTCCTTTCTCTGTTTAGATAGTAGTGATGGATGAGCGGTACTACATGTTAGTACAGAACCTGGTACCCTAACCTATTAATTACACTAAGTAATTAGAATAGTTATACTCTAATCACTGGATACTTTAGTTATCAATCTGTTTTGACAGAGAAGTATAGTTGCAAAATAATTACATACAGCCGTCTGCAACTTTTTTTTTTAATTGCAGATTTGTTCCCTGAGTGGCCAATTATGAAAAATTTTATATCAGTATGAAATTTTGATCTGAAGCTGTAATCTGGGCGACTGTAGACTTTATATTTTAAGATGCAGTCTCTGGTTAATGAAGGGAAAAGCATGTGCGTTACAGCCGTAATTAGGTTTCATTATTCCCTTACAACATACTTAAAATGAGTATTATGTATAGATCCTTACTGTATCTGTGTAAATGGACTAAAACTTTGTATTGTCCTTTCTACCTAGCTCATATAAACAAATGGGGAGTAATATTTCTTGCTGGAGTCTCTGGTGAACGCATTACAATTTTTATAATTTTATTTATTTGCTTTGTAATGTTCCTTGTTTTCCTTGTTGATTTTGCTTTGTGTTGCCCCCCTTTTCTTTTTTTCTTGTGAAGAATTAAAGAGAATTAAAACAAGTGTTGTGCAACAGAGTACATTTTTGGCAGTTATTTTTCTAGGTGGGAAAGATGTAGCTCTCATCTCCGGTGGGTTGTCTTTAGGTCATGTCCTTTGAGATAAAAGGTAGTAAAGTATCAACCTCATCTCACTAAAATAACTGAATAACTAAAACGACTGACTTACCTTGTCCATTATCAAGAACACTCCCTGGAGCTGTCCAAGTCAAGAAAATCATGTTGTTTTCTGTATAAGCTTGAAGATCTGTAATTTTACCAGGTGGAAAAGAAGAAGTTCCTGGGCTTATAGTTGGTACAAACGAAGTTGTTGCAATTCTGTTGAAATTTCCCAGCTGGGCTTGGATTTCTTCATCAGAAAATTCAGGTCTTGGTGCATTCATCTGAATTTTACCTGTTTGGAAAAAAATCAAATTTTACCATTACAGAATTCTCTCTTACACTTTCCCTTCATTTTTATTATCTCTTATTATCTCTTATTAGCCTATTTTTTTTTTTAACTTAGCTTACTCGAACGTAGTGGAAAAGTTGGTGAAGGAAAAAAAACAAGTGATCTCAGTATTCTCAACATAAAATATAAAATCCCCAAAAGCAGAAAATTTTGAAGTACAGGAAATTGGAGGTGATGTTGCTATCAGTAAAGCATGTTGCAGGAGTTGGCATTGGCTTCAATAAGGCGGTGCTGTTCATGTCTTCCTACATATCACAGACTAGGAGAATTTCGATTCTGTAGGCCATACCTTTGCGGGAGTTTTTATTGAGACAATTTTTGTATTAATTCTTCTAAATTTCACGGTATATATGTGTGAGAATGTGAAATACAGTAGATAGCATTTATTCTCCATTAGAGAAAAAGCTCTCAAAACTTAAGAAATCCCAGAATCTAAGGTTTCTACCACCATTAGTTTGTATACTAATTCTGCATACTGAACTTATTTACCCAAGACTTTCATGTTAGAGTCTCAGTAAGTGTGATAATTTGAAAATGTCTCTAATCAGCTCCTGATGTAAAGACTAAGCAATATTCACCTTTCTCATGTCTGTAAGGTAAATTATTTTTTAGATTAAAGACAACATTTTGCACTGATCTCTTAACATAGGATAGCACGTTCCATTTTGTTTGTTTGTTTGTTTGTTTTCTTTTTTAGGAATGTTAGATGGAACAACTATTAATATTAAATACAGTTTCTTGAGTGTAAATGATCCTGTTTATTAAACCTTTACAACAACATTCAAACACAAATCACACAATCTCCTTTTCTTAAATGTTCTTTACCATTTTCTCTGTAGCCTGGTATATACAGGGCTCGGTTTTGTCTGCGGCCAAGTCTCACAGTTGTCTCTTTCCCACGAGCATTCACTTTCAGACTGTATCTTTCACCACTTTGGAAAGAAGTAAAGTACCTGGAGTAGATTCCATCATTCTTGATTGTATCAGCACCTTGATAGAGAAATATTGAGAAAAATGTTCAGCAAACTGAGAAAAAATCCTGTAGTTTACTTCTGTCCTACAGCACTTCTAAAGGGGATCGCTATCTCCCTTGTTACTCTTTTCATGATTTGGGGCTTAGTTGTGACTCAGTTATCACAAAGTCTCAAGGGAGCATGCAGACTTGGATTCCAAACGCATAAATGCAAAGGTTTTGCCTGTGAATATGGAAACTTACCTGCACCGTTATCCAAAAGTTGAAGGCTTTGTGCTGCAGCGCCGTCTTTCTCTATGGTTGCTATCACAGTTGCACCAAGAACAGGCAAAAACTCTTGACTAACCTCTGCGTAAATAACAACTGGATTAGGTGCTGTGTTCAGCTGATTCATGTAGGCTGTGACAGTCACGGGAGGAACATCAGATGCTGCTGCTCGAGAGGTGACTGTTACTGATATACTTTGACTTTGTGTAGAATCATTTTCAATATAATAATGCCAGTCTCCCACCTGTTAATCAAATACAAAAATAGAAAAATCTAGTAAAAAGCCTTCCTGTTCTAACAACACCTTTCCGCCCCCTTCCATCCTAAAAAATAATTAAAGGAAAATGTATGTTTGTCTTTAGGAAATGTTGATATGTTCAGAAAATGAAATAAAATGTTCAATCTTTACCTCTGCAGTGCCACTTATACCAAGTCTAGCTGCTCTGGTGTTTGAATTATCAATTGTGAAGTCCGAGGTTCCATACTGTTTTCCTTTTGGGTCCATTAGAAAAATACGTGGTTGAGAGCTACTCCATGCAATGACGAAGAAAGTGTCGTTTCCCACAGTTTTGTCAATAGTCACAGTATCATTTATCCATTGGTTACCTGTGACTGTTACATCTTTGCTTTCCAGCTGTTGAAGAAATAAAATTTGTTTTCTTGTTAGTAAGGAAGCTTTTAAAATATCTTTTCAGACTGATTCATCAGCTGCTCGGCAGTATTGCATGCGCACATTATTGGCTTAAATTGCACAAGTCTTGGGCAGGATTTGACAAGAGTTTATGCCTTAAGGAAACTAACATGAAGATGTCTGTGCTGCTTTATTCATAACTCAGGCTCGTACAGACAGAATGCATTTTAGTGTCTAGTGCTGCTGTCTCTGCCTGTGGGGAAATTAGAGCCACTTGCCACAACTGTTGGGTAAAGAACTGTAAAATCACAGACTCACTTTCTATGATGGTAGCTTGCATAGTAACACTGATTTAAGTGTAAAAAATATGGTAAACATGATAAGTTATGGTAAGTGTAAGTCCTTCAGTTTTGTATCTATTTATCTACCTAATTAGCGCATCTAGATCTTTCTACTGCAAGAAAGCATCATGATATTTCCACTTTAGTTTGTCCCTCAGAGAATGAGAAAAAAAAACTCTCCCCATACCACTATAGAGCTTAAAGAGAGAAGCAACAACAAAACAAAGGAAAAGATATAGGAGAGAGAACAGGATTTCCTTTATTAAATAGGTAACAATTCTCACATAATTTCCTCATTCCTATTTTATAAATAATTAAATCTGCAATTACAAAGTAGCCCTTCATGAACTAAAAAAAAAAAATCCATTTTATGTAAATGAGGCAGAAGAGTCAATGAAAGGCAATATAAAAATTAAAACGAATGAAAAAAAACCCCGAAAACCAAACCTGTTAGTTCTGCATGGGTGCTGCTTATAATCTACCTGTTTTTGCCAATAATTCATTTTGGATAAAACACAGAACTAATTCTATGCTAAAATATTACCAAAATAAGGAACGAGAGTTGCAAAATTCTAAGTAACAGTTTATGTGAAAAGTCTAAAAGTTTATACATGTTACTTATGGTTTAAGAGAGGAACTATGTTTTGGTTGCTTCTTTGTTCCTTGAGTTAAGACTATTAAAGTGTTCTAAAAGATAATGGTTCATATGAGTGAACTAAGCATCCTGGAAGAGCTGTGCTTGCTTTCTTATGTCAAATTCTCTCCAATTTATTTCACTTAAGGTAGAAGACCACTATTTCCAAACTTCAGTTTACTTTGCACTTTGAAGCCAGCCACTGACAATTAGTATTGTTGTTCACATTCAGTTACTAATCAGCTAAGAGCACAGGAGGGAAATAGGTGTTGATATTCAGACCTGGATAGATTGTTCAGCTATATCTCCACTTCCTGATGTAATTTGGCTGAATGATTCTATTAATTTACTGGGAACGACTCCATCTATAGCATAAAGTGTTAAACCTCCTGAAAGACAAGAGTAAAATAATTAGAAATGCTGATTTTTACTCTAAAATTACTTTTTTTTGGTGACTTCTGGTATTGAATGGTCTACTAAAGAGATTTGTTAATAAGTGCTAAATTTACCTTTTTTAATGCTTTAATACATACATTGCAGTAAATTCATGATACCTAAAATGCAGTGTCTGCCCTCACAGCCCCTCACTGCCGCGTTCTGCTGCTCCCCGCCATCCCTCCCATGCAGACAGGTCTCGTCAGCCGCCTGGCTCTGTCTCGGGTGGAGTCACACACACGGGCAGGGGCATTCGCTCAGAGCTGTGCAGGATCTTTGGCAATTTGATTTCTGTTTCTAAGGAGGGAAACTTGCTAGTTGGCGACTCATTCTGAAGGACTGTGTGGGTCCTTTCTGGCTCACAAATCACTGTTGATAATGCTCTGCAACTGGAGCTTGAATAATCGATTCTATCTTAAAATGCAGGCAGAACAGAACTGAGGTCTGGCCTCTCCTATAGTCAGGTCGATCCAAAGATGTAAAAGTATACAAAGGTATTCCAGGTTATTGCAATTGCTAAGGCAAGTGCATATGTTTGAAAATACACAACATCCACACCTCTCTAATAAGATTTATTCAGCATATCTGTCTGCATCAAACTGCATTCTGAGTCGCGCACAGATTTTGGAGATAGCATAGCATGGAGCAACACCATGGTGGATAGTTTTTAAATAGCTATTCTAAAAGTAACGGTGTAGCACCCGCGCAGGTAATAGCTAAGATTGCTAATGACGGGGATGGTAACAGTGTTTGATATTTTTTAGAAGTACACTTCAGCTGCAGCAGTTAGAGAAAATTATTATTTACATAATAAATAATACTTATAAATTAAAGAATAGAGAAAGTTCTGGTCACTGCATGCAATGCCACAAATAAAATTCTTGTCATTACAGAACACTTCTTTTTGTATGTTATATAGTAATGTCATAATTACATCCTTTTAGTAATAAGGTATTGTCATGTTACTGTATTTTTAAAATCCAAACAATTAAAACAAGCATAGAACATGCAATGGTTCTTAAGAGCACTGCTTCCTTGCATTAAAAAGCATATCGTGCAAATGGAGCTTCTTTAAAATCAAATTTATAAAAATTATATTTATTAAAATTAAATTTAATTTTCTAGAGCACTTAATTGCTCTTATTTTACATTTTCAAACTTGGATATGCATGCCAGAGAAAGCTTGTTTAGAATAGTTACCTGTTAGCTTTGAAAATTCTTCTAATTCTTTAGCTGCAGAAGGCCCCAATGCAATGGTGTGAATTATTGCCCCACTTTGTTTCACTGTTTCAAGGCATGTTGACATAGACGAGTCTTCTCCATCAGTCAGCAGTACAATTTCAGTACCATATGTAGTTTGGAATTGGTTTTTAATCACCTGAATTAAGAAGAGAATTCAGTGTATTAGCAGCAGAATAATTTTAAATCCTAGCTTATCCCAGATTATAGTCAATATATGTATTTGGGACAACTGTGCTAACTTCAAATGTAAGACAAATTTATTCTTCTCTCCTTCTCTGTCTCTTCTCCTATGCATTGCTATTGATACACAGACTTGCAACTAAATTAGATGATATCTGCTTTGTTTTTTCAAAGACTGCAAACCCCAGAAAATAAAATGCACAAGAGAAAAATAGTGTCTGTTACTATTTTTCCAGCCTCAGGAATTTTATGTGCTTTCATAATTTCAGGTGTTTGATGACTTGCGAACCTGGGGATTAACAATACACATACACAGTTTATCATTTCAATACTTACCTACTCTATATGTTCACTGTGAGGAGCATACACGATTGTGTGGGAAAACCATGGTCTGTGACCTAGCAATATGATCCTTGATTTTTCATCAGTTGCCCTATATTCTAAACGATATTTCCACATGGTACTTTACCTCAAATCCTTTCCGTACACCTGCGCAGATATTTGTTCCACCACTAGCAGTTTTAGGCAAATATTGAACAAGACTGCTGCGTGTTGCATCACTGGTTATTTGTGTCATAGACACTTTTTCAGCTGCCGAACTTTGAAATGTGACAATTCCAACCCAGGAACCAATTTCAATAATTTGGAGCAGAAATACCTCTGCAGCCTGATAGAGGTTGTTAATGCGATTACTCTGTATGTGGAAAGAAATAACATGATTAGAATGTAGACTCTTCTGAAAATGCAGCAACTATTGATGTTGTTCAGTTTGTAATGAAAAATTAATACCTATCTGCTATAAGGTTCATTGGACAACTCATATGTGTGCTCAGTACAAAACAGCAATGAAGCATGCTCTATATCATGAAAGGGTATTTGCAAATTACATATTTCATGGAAAGATATCATGAACCAAATTTCATCTGAGGTCATGACCTCATTTCTAATCAATTATTTGTTACTTTTCTGTTTTGATAACAGTCAAAACATATAGAATCTCTAATACTCATGGAGTAAGTTAGCCTAGACAGTAAGTATTTTTGAAATTCAATATTAGCAAAATAATTAATATCTTGAATATAAACATTTGAAGCAATTACTGAAATAATGTTAAACTTGAAAGTATTTCTCTCTGAAATTTCTCTAGCTATTATTGTGGGATTCATAATTATCTTCACTTTCTGAGTTAGCATTGCATTAAATTACCACTTGATTTCATAAAATGTATAATAATTGGCAGACATTCATCCATACTATAAAAATCATTATATAATTTATTCCAACTGCAGATCTTTGCTGAAGATCAGCCCCAGGAAGAACATTGCAGTGGAATGACGCATCTGGAAAGAGGTCTGTTATTGGAGCTCTAAGGGGGAATCCCACGCTTAGTTCTCTGTACGTAGAGAACTAGAACATTTGCTGCTTTGTGCTTCTTTGTGTACTTTTTGGTTTGAGGCATAACTGTCAGATATTTAACAATATTTCTCAACATGCTCGGGCCTTGTAAATTATTTCATTGAGATCAATATAATTGCTATCCTTGGCATTTATATCTTCCAAGGTAATGTTCTCCATGCAAAAACTCAGTGTGACTTTCCCACTGTTAAACCAGTGGAAAAAAGTGTATTTTTTTAATCTTGAATTCCTATGGGACATGACAGTTCAAACTTGTAATATTTTTGAGTAAATATAAACTGTCATTGGCTCATGACTGAGTCTTGGAAGAAGGAAGATTGGATAAGGAAATGCTGTATGTCTTTAAAACATACTAGGCTCATTTAATAAGAATACAAAATAAATTTATAATATACTTTCTGTTTGGGAGAAATAAAATAGCACTGACATTCTAGGTCTGAAAGAAAGGAAAAAATATTTAAATTTGAGATTTTATAAGAAAAAATGACACCAAGTTTGATCATTCTTAGTATTTTGAAGAAATTTCTTTTATAAATAAGATTAATGGGGCAAAATCAGTCTCCTTTTTTTTTTTTTTCTAAATAAGAAAGTTAATTACTGGAAAATGACTGAAAGTATTAAAATTATTTTATACCTACTTTTTTGTCAGAAATGTATTTTAAATGTGTATTCTTACCCCTCCCATGCTCCCAGAAACGTCCAATACAAGGCAGACTGCTCTGTCTTGTGTCTGCAGTAGACTGAATGTGGGTTCAACAGGGGGTGTAACACTGTTTAGGATGGAGGAATTTTTAAAGTCATCAGATTCCATAATTACTTCCCATGTGCTTTTGAAGTTGCAGATCTTATTTTGCAGATTTGGAGCCTCTACATTATGAGTGTTTTTGTCACAGAATTCAACCACCTAAAAAGTCAGATTAAAGATAATAATAATTATGAACTTCGAAAGCAAAGTATTTCAGAAAATAAGAGGTTTATGGTGAGAAATGTACAAATACAGTTAGTTCTTCTTTGATGAGAGAAGATCATGTATGTCATGGTGCCTCTCCAGGCAGGATCTTAGAAGAATCAAGCAGAGAAACGTGCTCCCAGCATGAGGGTCAGCACAAGTTAGCAGCCTGCTTATTTAACCAACTTCTTGGGTTAAGCTGATAGTCTTGAACCTATTCCTGTAAGTCTTCTTGGGTAGAACTAGAGGGTGCAGAGTCAAGAAACAACCTCCCCTGCCCTTAGATGCCAGGGATGTCAACAGAGTACTGATGAAGGGAAGCCATTACCACTAAGGATCTTAGAAAGAGCTTGCCTGAAGAAATGGAAATAAATAGCTGAAGTTTAGAAGACTGTCCATCATTCTAACCTCCATCCTTACAGAGAGAATGGTCTAAAATCACCTGTATCTCATATGTAAGGCATCTGGCTAGAGCAGTTTGGTTTTATGCCTGTTGATCTGATTTTCTAAACAAAGTGTTAAAAAACATGCTGAGATCTTAGTTCACACCACCCTTGCTGACACAAAACAGCACTCGGATCAATTCCACTAGCTCTTATCTTCTCTTTTGAACAGATTATAATCTGATAGTATCTCTTGGAAGGAGATTCGACAGGCACCTGCGATAGTGTGCAATGTAACAGGAAGTATGAATTCATCAGAAGAGCAGATTTCTACAAAACCTAGGTACAGATGCTATGACTAATTACAGACAAAGACTTAAAGTAAGCATCCGGACCACCTCCAGAAGGAGCATGTTTGTGCCAGTGTTTTTCTTCCCACAAAGAAGCACAGTATGTAGAAGAGGCTGCCCTAGGGAGACTGCTCTCTCTAGAGCGTGCAGCCACTCCTCCTGAGGAAGGAGTGAGAGGGGTTCTAGCAACTTAGGTGAAGTTTTTTGGTTCCAGGAAATCTCCTAGTAAGCTTTTATTTCTAGTCTTCAAGCTAATGGCATTTGTGCAGGTGGCAATTAAGTACAATCAACATTAATTCGTTTTACAGTTCTTCTTAGGCAGACAGAGATCAAGGCTACATTAAAGATCTTCACTGAGTGACAGTTGTACCAAGAAGTCATCAAAGTTAAGAGATGATAGCTGTTTCAAATACAGGAGGTGAGTAAGCTCATTTAGAAGGAAAATTGTTGACACAAGCTGTGGTTTACTTGTAGTAACAATCAGAAACTGAGCTAAAGTAGCAGAGATTTTGCTGCAGGGGGTTGAAATGTCAATGATGGGGGCAGTAACAAACAGAAAAAAACGTCCAGAAAATCAGGCACCCAGCAGGGGAAAAAGAAGTGCTAAAGCAGACAGAGGCTGGCTGACAATTATGAACAATAATCGTCACCTGTTGTTTGAGGTTATTGAGGGAAGCTGGACTTGTGCATTACTTTGAAATAGAAATAGTCAAAGAAATGTCTCAACAAGACCTCAAATATTATTAAATAATTTGGAAAGGTGTTGCAGTACTTACAGAAGACAAACTTTGCATGTACATAATAGAAGCTGCGATATTTTGTTGTTTATCTGGTACAAATGTGCATCCAGCTTCATAGAGCTGGCCATCATAGCTGCATGCCCTTGTATTACAGTTGTTTCCATCGCACTCTTGGAAAACAGGTACACCAGTGACATGAGTTGAACACCTAGAGGAAGAGAAGATAGACAGGATTGCCTGGGAGCCCCCATGTATTCTACATTTTTTTTTAATGTGTTTTGTTGTTTGTTTGAATTTTGGCTGCCCAAAGCAACGAACTGCTCTTGGCACAACTGTGTATGAGGCACTGCACAAGTACATCTGTAGGCAGTCTTTTACTGAGTCTGCACTCTAGTCTAGAAGTAGTTGAAAAACCATTGTCTTTTATTGATGCAGTTGATAACTGTCCTGTGGTGTTCATGGGCCATGCAGGAAAGATATTTTGCTAGGAGTTGCAAAGCAAAACACTATTGGAATGGGCAACCTGCAAAGAACGGGCAAGGTCTCTATGTAGAAACCACTTAAAATCCCAGTGCTTTTAGTAGGAGATTGCAGTGTTGTCAATAGCTGCTATTAGACAAAATGCTGTTAAATAAGATGTAACAGGTGGTAACTGAAGTCTGCTATTGCACACCTAGCAATAGTCTTTGTAGTTTTATCTATGGAACCTGTTACAAAACAACTCTGCACTTCAGCCAGCTTGGACTCTGGGCTGCAAGCAGGCAATAGATGCTGCTGAATAAACATCGTTTAATCGTATGAACAGCTCGTGGAGAGCTCAAAGTACAAACTCCACACAGACAAGGTGAATACTGAAATTGTTATTGAAATGTCTAAAACTATGTAATGTAAAAGCAGAAATTTGAAAAGTAATACCTTGTTGCTTCAACACTTGCATGTCCAGAATTTGTAGACACATAGAAGGGTGCATCGCTGTTATATTCATCAAATACTCCCCACCGAAGATGAGCCCATTCGTGCACAAAAACTCTGCCTGTTGGAAAGCAGTAACATACACACATTCTAAACACAACCGTTTAAAACCAAATCAGCATTTTCGTAAGGCATTTTAACAAAATAATTCCTCTCATATAATACAAGAAAATTGTGACACACTTAAGCAAAAGAAAAGTTGAGGTACAACAGAAAGGCTTCAATTTAGTAACCATGACTAGAGTTTTGATTTATATGTGACTTCAGGAATTGAGATCAGGAATTCAGAAATTCAGAACTGTTCTAAAGAAACTTTTTAAGCTGCCAAAATTCATGTAAGGAACTTTCTTTTTTTTGAGTTTTCTGTCCTATAGAACAGCAAACCTCTAATTTTCTTTTGTCCCTAATGCAATGTAAAGCCAGATATATAAGCAGTGGATATTTTATCAGGTAAGTGAGCTTAAAAGGAAGGCTCTTGCTAATATCAGCAATTATAATACAGAAAAATAACCATTTAGAGTTCTCAAACAGATAACAATTTTTGGATCCAGTGTTTGAATATTTAGTTTCAGACACTTTACTGGAATTTACTACTTCTGAAAAATCTGACAAGCAAACCAAGGTACTCAAATTGATTAATCACCTTGAAAAATCACGGTCATTGCATATTAACACTAGAAGAGGCAATGGAACTAAATGGCAGCATTACCTCTATCTCCATAAACATTAAGCAGACTGCTTTCCAATAGGAAGTTAGGTGTGAAATGGATGTATCTTCCTTGCTCCTTACATGCTCCGTACTGTAAGGTATATGGATCATCTCCATATTTCAAGTAAGGATCTGCTATGATGACATCTGCCTACAACAAGACCAAAGGCATAAGTAACATTAAGAAATGCAGTTTGGGAATGGAGAAGGTTAGTGGTTCTTTCTGAATAACTTAAGTTCTACAAGTTTTTACTCTATCAGTGCTGTTATCCACTCTCTTGAGTGAGAACTTCCAGGATTTGTCCTACATTTTGTATTTATAATATCAAAAACAGCTGTTCCTTACAATTTTAATCATAAAGAGTTCTGTAGGTCATACCTTGTTATATGATTCTGTTTTTACCCTTGCATAGGTGGTGTTTTTTTTCCATGTTTTAGGAATTATGATTTTTACAGACTTGAAGTAAAATCGGTGTTTCGTAGCTTCAAATAAGTAATTGGAAGCATCTTTAACCATGGCCTAGGGAATGAAAGAAAATAATACTAATATTAATTTTAAAATCAAAAGCAAAATCAAGAATAACTTAGACTTGGCAAGAAAGAATAGTAGAACAAGAAAACACTATATACATAACATAAAGCAAAAGAAATTCTACCATCTTCAGTACAAAAAGAATAAATGAAGAAGTCAAATTGTAATTCTAATTGAATTCAAATGAAGAAGCCAAATTGGAAACCTACACTTGCTCTATAATCCTCTCCTTAACCAGAGCCTGTGATAAAATTCACACTCTAGCTGTGACAAAGGCCTTGTAATCAAACATTCATGTTTCATGTGCAGTAAAAAGCTAAAGGATATCTCTTGAAGAAATTAAATTTGCCAGAACTGGGAGTGATGGTGCCTGCTAAATCCATGACATGCTGAGAATTAGTGAGACACAGTATTTCCCATCCCACCACTGCCTCAGCATTACAGGAGTGCTGTAAGAGCAGGTTCTCATAAGGGCAGCTGCTGTGTGAACTCCTAGTATAGTGGCTGTCTCGCAGGAACAGCAAGTTCTGCTGCTCCTATGGTTCTGCCCTAAGCAAGAATGCTTAGTGGCTTGCCCTGTAGTTGAAATTGAGTGATTTAAATTATGCTTATTATTTTAAAAAGGTGACAATCAGAGAGAAATGGTAAAAAGTAAATTATAGTATGCAGTTTAGCCTCCTGTGATCCTCTTGTTAGGTGAGAGAAATCTGAAATGTTGTTACAGTTAATAACAGTAATAACTGTTGAACAGTATTGAGTCTCTACTTGACTGACCTAAGGATGGCATCCTTTATACTTGATCTTAGCACTGATATGGGACTGAGATGACTCTACCTCGGGGTTGTTTGATTATATGGTATTATACATCAAGGCATAGGCATAGTGCAGAAGTTGGGGTAGCTGTCCAATCTTTTTCAGCAGATTTTCTCCAAAATGATTTTGCATAGGCAAAAGCATATTCCTTGCTTTGAGCTCTGGCTAGCATCCTACTCTAAGGAAGCTGAATTGTAGAGGCATTCACGTGGGATGCCTTTCTGGACTCTACAATGGCTACAATAAAAGCTAAGCTCAGAAATATCACTAAACCTAAACCATTTTTTTGTACAGTAGGAGGTATACTAGCTAATAATAAGTGGTAGGATAGTAGCATAATCAGTGTTTTTTTTAAAAAACATTTGTAGGTATTTTTTCCAGGGAAAGATTGGGAAAGTCCCTTATGGGACTTTCAGCCTGTTTCCCTAAAGAATATATTACTGTGTTGTCTCACACAGCAAGCTGTGGTCTTACAAAGAACTGTAGATTGAAAGGCAAATTAGAAATGACTGGTTTAGGAACTGTGGGAATAATGAATAATTAATTCAAAACAACAGGAAAAGCTCCCATTGATATGAATGGGAGCTGGATCTGATTCTTGCTATATTACAAGTAGAAAGAGTCAAGTCATTCTAAAATGCTAAGAAACAAAGTATGTAAATACAAATGTTCTTACCTGTGTGTTTTCAATGATGTTGGCATCTTCTGGCACCCCGGGATTAATTGCAATAACCAAATCCTCATAGCCACCCTGATTTAGCCATACCGTAGAACCTCTTACCACATGTGGGAGCTGAAAAACCAGCAAAAAAAACAAGCTCCGAAACGCCACCATTGCTGGTCCTGCTCCCTGCCTGATTTTTGATTAGAAGAGTGATGACTTACCAGCCTTATTTATATAACTGCCTTTGCACCCAAAAAAAAGGTAAGATTTAGTCATAGGACTTTGATCCTTTATGCAAATATGCTGAAATGTCATTGGATTATGTAATTATGCATTAATTTTAGGAGGAAATATTTGACTCTTAATATTCAGATATGTATATATTTCCTTGTGACACTCATGCATCTCAATGTGATCGATGTTCTGTTACTCAGTTCATATCTAATCTTATCTAAACCATTTCCTGAGTAAATAGAACTAATAATCCTGCAAGTGTAGATCTCTGGAATTTTCAGAGAAGACTTCAAACAACCCATCTCTGTAATGTAGAATCGAAAGAACCGACAAGGCAAAGGCTGTTCAGTGAGTGAGTAAGGGTCCCAGGCATTTCTGTATGCATTGTTTGATATGTTATAGTCCTCTCTGATTTGAGGTGTGTGATTGTCATGCTTGTGTTAAAATACATTTTGCTCAAGTGAGAAGAGTTTATTGAGTAATCCAGATTACTCTGTGTGGCTGCCTTATCTCCCCCTCCCATGTCTCACTTTGTGCTCTACGAAACTTGTCCAGAAGTGATTTTATATTTCATTTTGAGTTCTTGAGAAAATGTTTAATAGAATCAGGCCTATCACTGGTTTGCAGTCCTTTGAAAAATGTCTGCTGTGTGATGATTCCCTACCAGCTGTTTTTTTCTGGTCTATCAGTTAGGTAGTTCCTAATTTGCCAGGGATGTGCTTGATTAAGGCAATGCAGTGCTATATTTTAAACTGGAATATCACAGAGTGCTCACCTAACAAATGTTTCATGATGTATCTATATTTTTGTTGCATTTTTAGTGGCATAAAAATTAAATAATAAAGGAGTAAATGTGTTTGTGATTGGCGCTGATTTATGTGAAATAGATGTTTAACAGACTTTCTGACAGGTTTCCAGGTCACTCCCTTTGCCTTATGAAAGTATTTTTCTTCTGGGTGATACTGCAAGAGTTATCAGTAATCAAGAGAGCAAACTGCGGCTGAAGGTATCATTCAATTCTTTTAAAATTACTAGGTGAAATTTATTCAGACATATGCACTTAAAAATACTCCCAGATGAGTATCTGTTTCTCTTTTCCTAGTAGACTTAAAAATAGCTCAAAATTTTCATGGGGTGAAATTATATTAGTCCACTGTTTTTTTTTTTCAAATATTGGACAGAAATATTAACAAAGTACTCCTGCTTTTTATTTTATCAATAACAATATTAGTGTATTTAATATTTTCCCTGTTCTGCCGTAAGTTTTTGTTGCTATTTCTTGTGCACTTGTTTCTGCATCAGTATTTTTCCCTTACATTTTAGTCTGTTATTAACTTCCTGCATCTCCAGTTTTCTGTCTTAATTATTACTTCCTTTTCTCAAAGTCCTAAGTGCACCAACAGATTCCTCATCTCAAAACAATTTTCCTCTATACTCCTCTGACAACCTCCCCAGTTTCAACTGCCTGTGTTCAAACCGAGCTGAGATTTGGTGCAGCTATTATCTCTGGATCAAACTTCTGATAAAAGAGCTATACTGTGGGAAAGAAAGGCCTCACTGGGGTTTCCAACCATGATCTCTTGGGAGCTGCATTTCAGCTCCAGTCTTCTCCCTTGCTTCCCTTGCAGCACAGCAGTATGTTGTGCTGAGCCTTGCATCTTGTTAACCTTGACACTGTCTTGCTGACCTGGCCTCCTTGCTTGGCCTGCCTTGTGCCAGCTGGTGGCTGGATGGAGTGGGTGACTGCCCTGGGTCGCTCTTTCCCACCCAGGTGCACCCGTTGTGTTGGTGAGGATGCTGCCCTGCCTGCCTTGCGCTCATCCTCAGCTCCCTCCTCCTCTGTCTACTCAGACTGCCTGTTCTTGCTGCTACCTAACAAGTCTTTCCATGTCTTGCTAGCTTCCGTCTTCCTAGCTTCTTCCTGTTGCATCTAACTCTTCCTGTTGCGTTCTCATTGTTTTCTTAAGTACAAGCCAAGTAAGAACACAGCACTTCAGACCGAGGAAGCAGGGTAGGTCAAACACCTAGCTGGAAACACTCTGGTATGTCACACCCTCTTTTTTGACCTTTACATGGTATTTGGCAGAACCAACTTAGGTTATTGAAACATATTTAAAGACTTAGGTGGAAAGATCATTTCCCTAAGTCTTTATGGGGAAGTCCAGTCTTGCTATTGTTTTTTGGTATTTTCTTTCCTTTAGAACACTACTCATCATTGACCTCAGGGAACAGCCCATAAAAGGGCAGAACTCTTCAAATACTTTGCCACTTTCTTACTCCACTCCATACTGCCAGGTCCAAAAGATCAAAGAAGGTGTGTGATATAACAGCAGTTAAGGGGAATCTGGAGTGATCTTGACCACTCACAATCGAGATATCTGATGAAGGATCAAAATATGAAACCATGGACCTGTTAAGAGGACAAATGCGCTGGAAAGAATACTCTCATATAGCCTTTTATGATCATCTTCACAGCTTATACCTGCCATGCCATTAGTAGTTTTACTCTGCTATGACATGCAGAGGAGGAAAATTGATGTTTTGTAAGAAAAAAACATTTGTTTCAGAATTCAATTTTCATTCTTCATGGAGTAGGCAGTTAACACTTTCATTGGTCTGATTTAAAGAAACAATCTTACTGCAATTTAGTAAGTGAAGCTGGTTATATTTATAGCTGATAAATTGTTTCTATTACATTTGGACAATAAATATGCCTCCTTAAAAGTTTCAGCTACAGTTTGACAGTGTTTACTTAACTTGTAATTTACTCTTTATTTTTTTAGATACAATTGTTCCTTATTAAACATCCAGTATCACCATTAAGAGAACAAAATATTTTCTCTAGATCCAGTTTTCAAGATTTAGTTGCAGGAATGGGCTCAGGATATTAAAAACCTTGTTTCTGTAATCACATGAACACATTCCATTTTCCATTTATTAGAGAAATACAAAGGAAAAAGTTGTTAGCATTCTTATTTTGTTATTCTCATTTCTTTATGCCTTGATTTCCTGCTTGTTTGCTTGACATTTTTTCCCTGTTTTCTTTGCTTGATTGACTTTGACCATAATAAAACTTCTGCTCGTTCTTTGCTTGTTTGACTTTGACCATAATAAGCTTTATATTGTTCTGTTAAAGTCACTTGTGCTTTTTCCTTGGATCAAGTTCTTTTATTTTTTTCTGCTGACTCCAATACCTCTCCTCTCTCCTCCTTCCCTAGTCCAATTAGGGAGAAGAAAAAAAAGTTGTGATGAATCTCAAAGGGCAGAAGAGAAAACCTCCAAAGCAACCTGTGACACTCACCCTGTTTCTGGGAGTGCTGTTTCGCGCGGGAATCAAACACTGCGCTGTTTCCATTATCTTTTGCTGGAAACTCCGTGGAGTTTTCAGCTGAATCAGAAGCCTGATTTACTGACATCACTTATAGGCAGCAGAAGGAAGGTGGAAGCTGTGCAGCTGCAAGCAGGGGACCGTATCCCACCCCTGGCCAGGAGAACACTGACCACCCACCTTGTGTCCTCACTTCTCTCTGACCACTTCCTCTTTTCTATCTCTTTTTCCACCTATTTTGCCTATTTCCAACCCTACATTCAATGAATAACACAGAATTTTACTTCTTTCATCTCTTATATTAGTAGAGGACTTTTTTAAACCCTTTGGATTAAGACTCAGATAAAGTGGAAATACAGGACTTCCCTAATTCACAACGCCATAAAGAACAGGAACATTCAGGAGTGCTAACTAACTTTGGTGGCTTCATGCTTATTCCTTTTACAGCTTCTGTCTTCCTTCTGCAGATTTCTCTTTTTGTTTTCCACCTTTTTGCCCACAATTCTTCAGTTATGAAGATGTCACAAGACTCCCTTTTGTCCCAGAACTGTCTTGAATGGTTTTGTTCTTTCCCGTCTATATTAGCACCAAGCAGCTTGCAGCACCAAAAGGAAATCTGTCTTTTCCATCAGACTATGTATCTCAGCAGAGCACATTTACTTCCAAGTGCTGTTTCTAAATACTGAGATGTTGTTGAGGTAGAGTACCAGCAGCTGCTAACACCTAGTAGAGGTGTTAGCCTAAGGAGATTATGGCAAATAAATATTAGATTTTGGCACCATGATGCAAACTGCCAAAGACTGTACCTGCTCCAGAATATTCTTTATGCATCTGGATTATTTAGTGATACAGAGTCTGTTCACCATTGTTATACATAACTCAATAGCCAATTCGTATTGAAGGAACAAGTAAAATGAAAACATAGAGAAAACATAGAGTAGATGTTCTAGGAGCTTCCAGGGTTTTCTTTTTTTATCATTTTTTATTTTTCTCTAAGGTAATGAAGTGGTAACATGGCCTAGATCCTGGATTCCCATTATAGAATATTACAATGCCTTACCTTTACACGGGGTTTTACTGCAAGATAGTAACTGAAATTGCAATCTTACATTATGGAGGAAACAAACAAACCCCACACATTACACATTTTAAGATCTTTCTTTTGTATATGTGTGTATATGTATACACACACACACATAAACATGTATACACACAGTTGAAATGCAGACATGTTTATAGAAGTGAAAATATAATCTGCAGGAGCTCATGGGTTTTTTATTATTTTTCTCTAAATAAGGCACATCAACTAAAGTATGTTGCCCATTTTAATCACAATCTTCATACTAAAAGAACTGGCTATGACATGCTTGGCATATATATATAAGTTGGTAAACACATACTACATCTATTCAGTACAACTATTTACATGTGATTGGTTTTAATTTAACCTGCCCTTCAGTTATAAAATTTGTATACAACATAATATGACTATTAAATCACTGTGGCTTCATACAAATCTGGAATATGATTATATGCTTATTCTTTTTGTCTCGTAAAATACCTGTTTTTGCATAGGAAATCATCTAAAGAAAAATTTAAAATGTGTAGAGGTCAGACAAGCTTGGACTTTCAGTTAAAGCAATTTAGTTGTAGTTTCTGTCTTTTTGTTGTTTTTCTTTAATAAACAGAAAGTTATACTCCCTGTAAGACAAGCTACTGCTAATAATCCAAAGACTAATAACAATATTGTTGAAACACTAAACTCTACATTAGAAGTAGGATAGTCCATTGGAGGAATAAACATTACTGCCTGTGCAATGTTAGACAGCTCAGAGTGAAGAAAGACTTCATCCATGGCCCGTATAGCTACGTAGATGATGCTGATGTTTCCTGTTGTAAAAGCTTCTGGTTTAAATGCAAATATTTCTTTGTAACCCGCATGCTCAGGTGAAAGACTGGAAGCATTCACAAAAGTGGACTTATAAAAGTTGTCCCTTAATTCCAGAGGAGTTTCACTTGTTCTGATTTCATAACCTGCAGCTGAAAATACATATATTAAAATACAATTTCATCTGTGTGTTAACTATCATTAAAACTTACAATTTCTCTTTAAAAACACTTATTAACATCAGTTTCATTAGTTCAGCTAGTGGGAAAAATAAATACAGCATGGTAGATAGATCTGAAAAAATTATTTTTGCTACCTAAACTGACTGCTCGGATAATTCTGATAATGATTTCTCACTGTGGTACAATATTGAAATGAACAGATAATAGAGATCATCATGAACTCCACTGAAATCTCACGGTATTCCTGACTTCACTGAATTTCACCTGCCATTAAGTGAAGTGTAATTCTATATTTTATCCAACTCTGATGTGTTTATTTCCATTCTCTTTGCATTCAAACAGTAGTATTTCCTTTTCATTGAGTAGCAAGCATTGATTGTGATTTTTTTTTTCAAAAAACACTTTGGCTACTTAATTCTGTTTAAAATCTATTCACGAATAGACAGGAATAAAGCCTGGAGCCACTGTAGTTTATAACAAAATCCCCAGTGGTGTCAGTGAGGCAAAATGCATTACAGGTATTGTGTTGTGTGATGTGTATCACACTGTATTACTATAATGACACACTTAAACCATTTATAATTAACAAACATTTGATTCTTAATGAAGAATAAGAAATGTTGAGTCTTTAGTTACTACTACAAAGTCTAAAACCATTATTTTGCACACACAAAATGTGAGCTGACATTTATAAATGTGCTTCTGGGTGCAAAAAATACAGTGGAAATTCGTTTAAAATGGCTACAGAAAATTTACTCATTTTGCAATTTTGCCTTGGCCAGGAGACAGGTAAGCTAACCAAGAAACCTACCTTGGCCTTTGTCAAAATCATCTCCTGGTGCTGTCCATGATAATACAACTTTATTGTCTTCTATTCTGGCATCAAGATCGATAATTTTGCAAGGTGGAAACACATCAGCATAAGGTCCCACTGGAACCGCGGATACTATAAAGGAGCCTCCTGCAGCTGTTCTGTGGAAACCTCCTCTTTTGAGTTGAAGATCATTTCTAATAACTGAGGGTCTTGATGGGTTCATCTTGATTTTACCTAAAGTATTTTTAAAAAATGTTGATCAATCTTAATTATTTGCATATTATTGTACTCTGCAGGCGACCTGAACTTCCTTTCATTTCTACAGCTTTTGTCCACTAATCTAAGTACAGTTACTTTCAGAGCAGTATGTACTTCAGTACAGTTTCAAGAGTATTAATTACTAAGATAATATTAAAGTGAAATGTGATTTGTTACAAAATTATTGTGGAAGAATTTCATTTACAGAAATGCAGTAGTTGTTTTAAGTTCAATTAAGAACTTTAATAATTTTAATTTAAGATGATTCATTATAGTACTCAAGTTACCAAACCTACAGCTATTCTTTTCACAGGCAAAACCTACATCCCTGTGCCTTACTGGCTGCTAATGTGTATATGTATCACATAGATACTGCTGTATTAGTGGTTTGCAGTCTGCTCTAAACATTCTTCTGAGGAATAGATATTTATTCTTGTGCTGAAGGGAAACAACTACATTCTGTGTTTGAAAAGCACTTAGAACTAAGTATCTCTTAGCTGGGATATCATTGACCTGATCCTACTTACAGAGGGACTTGATGTATGCAGATGCTGGACTAAATAGCTATGTGCTCTTCTCCACATTACTTTGCCTTACCGTTTTCCACATAACCTGGTATATACATGGCATGACTCCACGGCATCGCGCTTTGTGGTATGATAGTTGTGCTAGCGTGGACGTGGACTTTCAGGCTGTATCTGCCATTCCCAGGGAAAGAAAACAAGTACTTTGAATAGATACCATCATGCTTGGCAATGTCAGAACCTAGATATATATAAGAAAGACATAATTTAGCAAAGCAAAAGCAAGCAAAGATTGGTGTGTTTATGGAAGTCTCTTAGATTCATCTGTGGAAATCAGAGTGTAGAAGCAGTAAGTGTATTTTCCTCTGACTTGCAATCAATCTGTGCAGCTCCTCTGATGGTGTGTTAAAAGTGCTCAAGATTGCAGTCTGAAGTTAAGATATATTTTTTTGTGTGTGTTAACCAAAAGAATAGCTGATTTCTCAGCAAAATCATCTGTTATTTTATGATAAAGCAAAGGAAGAGTTTCCTTATTTCCTTAAAACCCTTTCTTGAAAACACCCACAAAAGAAGTTTCTTCACATACATTATTCATATACTTTTACCACCATCACGAATTACTGGCAACACATCATAATTGGTAATCTTAACCTAGTAAAAACTCTGAGGCATATAGTACATATAGAGGCATATAGAGGTTGTTCCTATACATTAGAGAGTCCACATAGCTGAAAAAACAGCTTGCACTATAGAACAACTCGTGGTATATATTTTAAAAGTTGGCATGGATCTCAAAGAATCATAAAGCACAAGTGAATGAAGCTTGGCAAGACAAGCCTGCTAGTCCAGGAATTACTCACACCTGGGCCACTGTGTTGAGCTCTAGAAAACTGCCCAGGAATTTAGGAGAAACCTCTGAAGGGCTTGGTTTTATTTATTGAACGGCAGCTCACAAATATGGACTCATTCTCACATGGGATCATCTTAATGTTAGTGGGACTCCGTGTGAGAATTATTTCAACCCCTGCAGATTTCTATCATGAAGATGAAACAAAAATTACAGCAAGCATATTAAATATATGATTGTGCAGAAGGGAGAAGATTCATTATTGCAATCTTCTGATGGTTTTTTGAAATTCAGTATGGAAATAAAAATTTATCAAAGTAGTATGAAGAAGCTGCAAGAGGGTGATGTGCCTGACCAGCTCCCTAATTCCACCTGACATGTCCCAGCATCATCTGGTTAAGACAGGCAAGTATCACACCGAACTTGTGTCTAACCTCAACTCTGCTGTAGCGACAACCAAAAAATCCCAGTTATTAACAGCATTTTCACTGAAAGGCTCTATATTAATTTCAGTGAAACTGCCACAGAAGCTCTGGGCAGCTGCACATCACTGTCATCAAACAGGGACAGCACACACAATGTCACCTAGATTTCCAGTAGTATTTTGATCTTCTTTTCTCTTTCTGTTAGCTACTAAAGATGATCATCAGCATTTTAAAAAAATATCTTTCCATGCAAATGAAACGTGCTGGCTTCACTGCTCACATTCTGTCCTCGAGACTAATGCTCCCCTTTGCTACTCCTTCTTCCCACTCTTGCTCTTAACTTTCCTCCTCTCACAGTTAAAGGGAAGAACAGACAAACCTGGGAGTAGTGATATTTCTTCCTCAGTGACATTCAAAAATATTTGGGAGGAGAGGACAAGAAGGGGTCTACACTCCAGTCAATACGATAATGAAAAGTAAATCAGATATTTTAAATTACCTTCTGGCAAAGAACTGGAAGAACTGAGAAAGCGCCAGAGAGGAAATGACAGTAATCTGAAAGAACTAAAAGGAAATGCCCCGTTACACAACACACAGCCTGTGGAAGTGCTTTCCACAAGACAAAAAGTGCTTTGTGAAAATCAAAAACTCATTTGTCGGCCCATGCAAAGGCTAAGAGCATCCTAGAGCTTTGGAGATTGAATAGCTACTCACCAGAATCACTGCATAAGCCACGGAAAATTGGGGTCTTTCTGCAACCATTCATTCAGAGGGTGGGAGACAGGAGCAGTTTACATGGCCTGAAGCATTTACCTTTGTATTTTCATGCCCTTCACTGAGATACTCAACCTCCAGGCTCACCCAGACGGACGGCAGGGGCTGGCAACAGGAATCTAAAACGCAAAACCTCTCATGATTGCATAATTTGCCTCCTGGACCTTCAATCGGAGGGCGAAAGCAGGGAAGCTAAGAGTTATTAACAGAAGCTGCCCTGTTTTTTTAGGTTATATCATAGAATCATAGAATCATAGGATGCTTAGGGTTGGAAGGGACCTCTAGAGATCATCTAGTCCAACCCCCCTGCATACGCAGGGACACCTAAAGCACGTGGCGCAGGACTGCATCCAAGCGGGTTTTGAAGATCTCCAGAGAAGGAGACTCCAACACCTCTCTGGGCAGCCTGTTCCAGTGCTCTGTCACCCTCACTGTTAAGAAAATTTTCATTAAGTTCCTGTTTAATGTTTGATGCTTTAGTTTCTGGCCGTTTCCTCTAGTTCTGTCAGTGGCCACTACTGAAAAGAGGCCGCCCCCATCCTCCTCACTGCCTCTCTTGAGGTACTTATAGATGCTGCTGAGGTCCCCTCTCCCCTTCTCTTCTCCAGGCTGAAGAGGCCCAGCTCCCTCAGCCTCTCCTCATAGGGCAGATGTTCCAGGCCCCTGATCATCCTTGTAGCCCTGCGCTGGACTCTCTCCCGCAGCTCCACATCTCTCTTGTACTGTGGAGCCCAGAACTGGATACAGTACTCCAGATGCGGCCTCACCAGGGCTGAGTAGAGGGGCAGGATCACCTCCCTCGACCTGCTAGAGATGGTCTTCTTAATGCAGCCCAGGATCCCATTGGCCTTCTTGGCCACGAGGGCACACTGCTGCCTCATGGTCAACTTGTCGTCCACCATGACACCCAGGTCTTTCTCCGCAGAGCTGCTCTCCACAAGGTCGGTCCCCAGCCTGTACTGGTGTCTGGGGTTATTCCTCCCCAGGTGCCGGACCTTGCACTTGGCCTTGTTGAATTGCATGAGGTTTTTCACTGCCCAGTTGTCCAGTCTGTCCAGGTCCCTCTGGATGGCAGCGCAGCCCTCTAGGGTATCAGCTACGCCTCCCAGTTTTGTATCATCAGCAAACTTACTCATGCCTCATGGTCAGCATGTGCCCTCATGGCCAAGAAGGCCAATGGGATCCTGGGTTGCGTTAAGAAGAGCATCTCCAGACATCTTCAGAAGGCCTTAATGTAGTCCACATCCTTGCTTTTGTTTGCAAATGCTATTAATCTATACTTCACAAAAGTCAAGGTATTAGTTTCGGTTAATATTTTTATTTTCTTCCTCACTAACGTCCATTTGTGGAACACCGATTCCCCCAAACCCTTCAAATGGAAAAATGATGTAGAGATTTTCATAAAAAGAGAGAGGAATCTAAAGCAAAATTCTTGGGGCTGAGTAAGTGCTCGTAGTTCAGACTTTTGGTAAAATTTTAAAACTTTTGTAATGGAATTTAGATCTCAGCATCTGAAAGTTCAGTGTATTTGGTCTTCTTCATAATGATAGGTAACACCATTATGAACACTTTTATTGATACAAGCATAGTGAATAATGAATTGAACCACATTTAAGTGAGAAATAAATAAAATCCATACATTTTAGATACGGTTTCAGATTCATCACTTCACATATCTTTTATCTATGCACATATAGCGTAAATTTTCATGTTCAAATTCAGATGGAATAGAATGCAGCCTAAAGCTGCTCTGGATGAGAAGATGCCAGACATGTTTTGTACCTACTGCACACACCTGCTGGAACCTGTCCCCTCCGTGTTAAACCAGTGCATCTCATCTAGCTAATTTAGGTAAGTGTTCATAATGGTGTTACCTAAAACTGCTTACTGCAGTTTTAAGTTAGATGCATAACTTGAAAGACCCTGAGTCAAATCTATGGCACCTTTTATCCAACGAAGTATGCAATTCTGTACAACTTTTAGAACAGAAAAAAAAATGCATGGACAATACAATAATTTTGAATGGAACTTTATAGATTAAACAACAGCTATATGATGTTATATATTGCTTAATGTGATAACAGAGAGAAAATTGAGCTACTGGCTACTAACAGGATTCAGAAATTTGGAAATGAGTTTTAAATCAAGTGAAAAGAGGTAGAGAGGAAACCTTAAGGTGCTGCTCTTGAACCTAGCAGGAAGTTGCTTGGCACACTGCGGTCACGATAGCATGGTGCAGCAGAACAGCATTATCTCATGCTGGTATATGATTGTACCTACCTTTAATAGAATGCAAATAATGCGCAGTTAAGACGCTTCCCCACACTCAGCAAGGAAAAAGAGATCTTAAATCTTACCTCTGCAATTCCTGGAATCTGGAGACGAGCTACATGGAAAATGGAATCAATGTCAAAGTCCTTGTTGGTGTAACTTTTCCCACTAGGATCAGAGAGTGTGATTGCAGGCGCTCCCGGCGTTTGCCAAGTGGCTACAAAGAATGTTTCTCTTCCCACTGTGCTATCAATAGTCACTGTCCTACTCAGTTCCTTGTACCCTCCAATACTGTCACTAGCACTTTCAATCTATGAGAAAGAAAAGGCCATCAGCTCTGAAAATCACATATGCTTACAAAGACAGGCATTCATTTCCATTTCAAATTATCAAATCTGACAAATTAAGAAGCCCCCAAATACATACTAACTTTCATCTTCTGTAATGATTTGGACCTTTATTGTCCCATTTACTCGCACAGTAGTAGATTTTAGTAACAGCTCCACTGAATGGAAATAACAGAAAAACTAGGTCTGATGGCCACCTTAAAACACTGAATTTCTTTAGAATGGAACTGCAGCTACATGAGATACTACTACCTCCTCAGCTGAAAAGCCTTTCTACTGCTGGAGCAGATAATCCTTGAAAGGACTGCAGACTGACTTAGTGTGAATGTATATTTCCATTTACATGTTTTTCCATAGAGAAAAAAATCAGCAATAAATGAACAGAACTCTGGATGGAGATACTGCTTAACCCTCCTGAGTTCCTTAGATCAAATCGTCAGATGTCAGTCCCTGTCTTGCTTCAGGTTAAAATTATCTCTTGCAACAGCATTGAAAAAGGCTTGCATACTCTACCACTCAGATGAATTTGAGGTAAATTACTGCAATTTGTCAAAATATAGGAAAAAAAAATCAGTGTTAATACAGCAAGCCTGTCAACTTTGACAAAAGGAAAAGGGGCCACAAGTCAAGCAAGTGGTCACCAGGAAAAGAGAACAGAACGGCTAGGAAAATTTGCTAAGTACTGGTTTTGTCAAAACAAAACAAAACAAAACAAAAAAGCTGTGCTTATAAGACAAACCTGAATAGATTGATTGAAAGTATCTCCACTTCTGGACAAAATTCCACTAAAAACATCCAGTAAGTCACTGAAGTCCAGTCTTTCTGGGACAAAAAACTTCAGCCCTCCTGAAGCAGAGAACAGGTTTTATTTCAAATGCAGTTATTTCATATTATACATGATATGGTCTTTGAATTAGATTCCCAAGATGTAAGCCTTGCCACAAAACTCATGGTGGTGTGAGGAAGGGAGGAGAGCCACCTCCCCTACCTGGAGACACTAACCATCTTGTTAGTAAAAGTTCTCTCATCAGCCTTGATGAAATATGTGAACACTTACAATAGAAACAGAGGCATGTATGACAAGTATTAGAAATATAACTGAAGCCTAAGGATTAAGCAAGAGCTGTTTGTATACAGCAATTTCTCTTGTGAAATTAAGTCACTGGATGCTTAATTCTTACTGATTTTGCTACACCCTAATACCTATTAGAGTCTAGGACCTAGACTACTTCTGTTTAAATGAGCTGACCATATCATTGATTTTCATTCTGTTTTTAGATCTATGCATCCACTAACATTACTGACTGGAGATGAAGACTTCATAAGGAATTTTACTCTGTTGCCACTACAACTGCTTTTCTTAGGTAACTTTTGTGACAGCAAACTACACAGCTGAGGCTCACTTCTTGAAATCGTTCAAAAAAGAAATATATTGGCAAATTCACAATTTCACATAGTTACACATACACTGAGCTTTACTAGATGTATCTGAGATGAATGTTTTCATGATTGGAGTCATAGTTTGTTCCAATATTTACCTGTCTCTTTGGAGAAATGTTCGATTTCCTTGGCAGCTGAAGACCCAACAGTAATAGTATGAATGACTGATCCACTGTTAACCATATCAGAAAAACACTTCTTCATACTACTGTCTTGTCCACCTGTCACCAGTACAATTTCAGATCCATATGTATTTCCATCTTTCTTCCTGATGACCTGAGGCAGAAGGACCAATATTAACAGAAGCAATAAATCTGCCTTGTAATTAACTCTGCCACTTTCCTCAAAAGAAAGTTAATCAGCAAAATCCATTGAAATGTAGCCACTGATTTTTAGTCTTTATTTCTATACCATAGTATACTGCAGTATTCTGTACTATAGTATTTTATATACTGTATATAGTACAGTACTGTATACAGTATACTCTAGAGCATACTGTATATACTTGTATATACTATACATTCTATACTATGGTATAGAAATAGCAAAGACTAAAATCAGAATATGTTGTATATATGTACTATGCTCCTTCTCCTTTACTTCCCTTCCCCTCGAGTATTTGTACAGACAAAATCCTCATGGCAAAAGGCTGAGACTATAGACTTTCACTAACAGAAAATGAATTTGAAAATCAGAGCAGAAAGAACATTTTTGCTTCCAGATTTCTGCCTTGTCGCTCTGACAAAGGTCCTCATGGTAGATAAAATCCTGATTACGAACAGGCACTAGAACTGCTGAGTATGCCAATGTAATTTTTGTTTCAAATTAAATTGAAATGGCAATCTGAACAGTAGAAGATAGAGCTTATATAGTTCATAAAAGTATGAACTTCTAAAGTTGAAAAGTTTAGAAGTAAATATCATTAGTTTTCTATATAAATTTATACTAAATTTAAAACCACACAAAGATCATACAATGTTATTTTTAAAAGGTACAGAGATTTAATGGTGAATTTTGGTTATTTTTCTTTTCATTATTATAGTGATAGGTGCATAATAAGTACACTGGAAGACTACTATAATTCTTTTCAAACAACACAGTAATCAGTTGAAGATACTGAATATGGCCCAGGAATAGAAATCCTCCCAATGAAAACAGAAAGTATCCACACAAGAGGTACAAGCAGGAACAGGGCTCTCAACACCTCACCTCCAGTGCCAGCTGGAGGCCTGCACAGACATTCGTTGTCTTGCTCCCTGGAGCTGCAGGTAAGTGGGAAGCAAGCTGCTTCCGAACAGCGTTGCCCACTATCTGACGCACGGAAGCCTTGATCTCTCCTGTGTGACTGAATGTGACAATACCAACGTAAGAATTTTCTTCCACAATTTGCAGCAAATACAATTCTGCTGCTTGATGCAATCGATTGATCCAGTTATTCTACATATAAAAAGAGGAAAATGCAGTTTTGTAAGTGTATACAATGAAAGCTGCAAAATATGCACCGATAGCTAAACTTCCTCTGCAAAAATATCAACTTCTGAAAGACAAAAGTTACCTAGAACACTTTTTGCAAATTCCAATATTAATTTTTATTAAAATACAGAAACCTAAATATGCTCCTCAGCTTATTTCACTGAATATGAACCCTAGATAATCAAATGCTTATGCCATGCCCTGCTGAATAGTAGTTATCTTCAGACCTTTGGAAGATAGACATCTCTTTAATGGATTTTTTTTGCCTCCCATCTTGCTCCCTGCCCTTCCTGCTCATATTCATCTTCCTCATGCTCTTCCTCCCCCACCTCTACACTTGGGGTGTAACAAGCAATGTCCTTTATTCCCCTCAAAATCTTGCCAAATCTCGGTCACTATTCAGCAATTGTATCCTGGTCTCACTTGTATTAGGAGAGATCTTGACTCCCCTGCTCTCAAAAGAAAAGAAAACCCTCAGCTCTGTCACAGCTGAGCTGATTCTTTGCACTGTAGACAAATTTCTTCATCTCTGTGTAGAGAAGTGCATTTCAAAACATACCTAGTGTGTCTGAAAACATAATCTAGAATGGTAAAATGCAGTAAAATGTATCAGCGTATGAACTTACCCCACTTATAGTCTTAGAAATATCAAGCACTAAACATATCACTCTGTCTCTCTTCTGCAGCAATGAGAAGGAAGGAGGAGTAATGTAGCTGCTGTTGGTCACTGGAGGGTTATTTTTAAAATCTGTAGAATTTTTGATTACTTCCCATGTGCTTCTGTAGTCACACATTCGATTCTGCAGGTTGGGTGCTTCTCTATTATGGTTATGTTCATCACAGAATTCAGCCAACTCAAATGGTAAACAAACAGACAAAAATCAAAAGCAAGCACCAAAGGAAAAATAGAAATAAAAACACGGATGGAAGTGAATCTTTTCTGATGGTTCTTGTATATAGGTAAGACATCCACTATTACTAAACTTATTTTTACATTGATAGTTACATATTACAGTGTATTTACTTAGATAAAAGTTGAGGCAAATGTAATATTTCCAGAGGAAGCATAATAAATTTGCATAGCATTGAAAGAAATTGTTTTTATGTGATTGTACTTACGGATGACAAACTTTGCATATACATTATTGATGATACTGCAGTTTGATTTCTCTCATGAATAAATGTGCATCCTTCCTTAAAAAGCCCTGTTAGCTTATTAATAACACAGCTACCTTCAGTACACGATTTTTTTTCACAGACATAGATGCCAGTAAGATCAGAGGAGCACCTGGGGATAAAACAGAATGTGTTTCCAGGATACAGCGAGAACATGAGGCTTATGCACTGCGCTCTGCACCGGGTCTACGCAAAGCATATCATTGTAGAAATATATGAATGTACACTGCAACATGACTCAAGGAAAAAACACTCATTTCTTTACTTCCCCATCACTTTAGCCTATCGACTGAGAAGAAATGTGAAGTATTAGAGTTGCAGCTGCAGCTTTGGTTGTTCAGTGGCTGACACTGCAAGATGCTGCGGGGCCCTGGGAAGCTGTTGGAGGCTTCCTGGTTCCCCGGGGGCCCAGGGGCTCTTGCAGCTTTGTGTCCTTACAGCTTTGCTGCTCGGCGCTCCGCAGCGGCAGCGCAGGCGAAGCTGTGCGGGTGCAGCAAAGCTGCAGGAACAAATCCATGGTGGGAGAGGCCAAAGTGTGCCCAGGGCACGGAGAGGCGAGGGGAGAAACGGAGGAAGTGCTGAGACGGACAAACACCCCGGCGAGGGGAAGGAGCTTTTGTGAACAAGCTCTGTCTCCTCCCCAGTGGCAGAGCACAGAAGTGATTTGGCCTCCAGAACTAGGTCAGAAAAATATAAGTTTCACCATCACTGCTGAGCCATCAGTGAGACAAATGTGCAGAAATGGGTGTGGAGGGAATCACAGGAACTATTCATAAAGTAGGGAGAGTTTTTAATGAGGAATCAAATAAGGACTAACGGAATAACAGGGATACATGAAGGGTTTACAGAAACCAGGTTTCTAAAAGTCCACCAAAATGGGCACTGGGAAGGAATAAAATGCTGAATTACCTTGTAACCTTAACCTGATTCCGTGCAGTTACATAAAAAGGTCTCTCGCTGTCGTACTCATCAAAGACCCCCCAGCGAAGGTGGGCCCACTCATGGACAAAGACTCGGCCTGCCGGGAGGAGGGAAGTGCAAATACACAGCAGCTGTAGTGCTGGGTTATGTCACTGCATGCCCAAGCAGCCAGCAAAGCTGTAGAGCAGACTTCTGCGCAGCCATCAGCCCTTTTCAGTGTCGAGTAATTAATTCTCACAGCTATGCGTGACTAACTTTAAATAACAACATTTGAAAGTCTTAGCTTTTATGTGTTTTAAAATCGGATTCTATTTTCATAATGTGTTTGAGCTGCAATTCAGTCCATAGAAGTTTATGGTGAAATGGTGATTCTTTTTACTACAAACTTTCATAAGAGTGAACCACGCAACAAATTGTAATTACATATTTAAAGTTGTATGTAGAATTAGCCACAATGAACCAGCTTCCTTAATAATGCTAATGGGTAGGAACAAAATGCTGTCTATGTAATTAACAAAGGTTTCGTAAAGCACTCAACAGAGAAATGTACAGAAAACGTACAGGAAGGTGTTGAACAATGCACTTTTCAGTATTTCTCAGTCTTTTGCTATACACAGCTGAAGAGAAAGCAGAAGAAAATAATGGGAGTTTACCCCGTGAGCCATATATATCCATCAAATTATCATTTACTAAGAAGTTAGGTGTGAAATGGATATATTTTCCCATCTGTCCACATGCTCCAGGTTGAAGAGTGTATGGGTCATCTCCATGTTTCCAGTAAGGAGGTGCCACAATGACATCTGCCTAAAAATACACAATAGTAACTTGATTAAGGGCAGAAATATTTTGTGGGTCAGGCGCACTGTCCCATGTAATACAGCCTAACCCATGACCAAGCTCCTAACTTCTCCCAGTGTGACTAAAGAGGCCGCTGCAGGTAGATTCCCCTGCAGCAAAATGAAGCCTTGAAATGGGAGAACACTGTACTTACTCCTCTATTAAGGCCCTTTGCATATTAGGCTCATTTTTTTCTGTTGTTTTCTCATAGCTGATGTTGGAGGACTATGCTGGGGCAAAGTTTAAGCAAAGAAAGCTTCTGCCTTGCTCTAGGGATCTCAGGTGGCCACCTGAGGAACCGTCCTCATTTCTAAGTGCCTTTCAGGAGAAAAGAGGCTTTATTTATTCTGATGACTAAAACCTTTTTATAAATTATTGTTGATATTATTACATAGTCTGTCAAGAGAATATCTTTTAGAATGTCTGCTAAAAATATGCTACTTATGGGGCTGGTCAGTAAGTACCAATGTCTTTGCAAGTAGATAAAAGATGCATACTACTCTGCTTCCTATTTCCTGCATTTCATCTACATAAAGTTTTGAAGTAATCAGTAAAACAATTATTATGAAATAGCCTCCACTTCTATTATGCCTCTAGCAATGAGCTGTCTTTATTGCTCTGGTTTCTTTCCATTTCTTGCCTGTCTTCCCTAACGAGGCTTTGAAACTCCACCTAGACTAGTATTACTGCTGTCCTAAGCACATTGTGAGCCAGGAGTGATTAAATGGATGACAGGTTAAGAAAGCATCAGGAAGGAAAACACTGGAACTTGCAAGCAAAGATTTCTGGTATGTAATAAATATAAAACCAAGTGGAGAAATAAAACTGAATATCAACAAGGATGTCTGCCAGTCACCAGATTTCTGCTGACAAGGCCCTCATTTGCGTTTAACCTGGTGCTCTTACAGCCCAGCACACTCTTGTTGCACATTCCTAGTCTAAAGCACAGCCCTGTGACATTATTGACAAACACCATTAGGACACAACTCTCAATATTCAAGATAATTTGCGGTAGTTCAGAACAGAGGGGGCTGCTACTGAGGTAGAACAGGCTACAAGGATTTTTTTCTGTTTGCTGATAGTCATTACTTGCATAGTTATTCCTTGTTCATGAAACACAGTTTTGCCTTTTCTTAGGGACATACTCACATGGTTATTTTCATGTCACTTTTTAAAATCTCAGGTACATTTGGCTACACTAATAAACGTGTATAAGAGCCTAGATCACACTCCATTCCCTAAGACAGGCTTTGAGCTTTACCGTGTCATAGGACTCGTGCTTTGGTGCCTCATAACCCTTCTCGGTCCATGTTGGGGGAATCAGGATCTTCACGCTCCTGAAATGGGCTCTGCCTCTCGTGGCATTGAAGAGATGCAAAGAGGCTTCCGTGATCACCTCCTGGTACGCGGGCAAGGAAAGGAGCAGGTCACTTGGGTACACAGCATGTTTGCTCAGTGATCTGTGTTTTATTAGGGCACTTGCCAGTAAATTTCACAGAGAACGCAAAAGTGACCCGATAACGGCACTGTAATGATTTTGCCTTTCAGGAAACCTCAATCCGTTGAGCATTTACAGCACTCCCTCCGCTGATCGATAAAACGAGTCACTGGGGCCAGAGCAGCGCCCGGGCC